CCAATGAAGCCAGGGCAGGAGGGCTTCCGCGGCTCCTGGCCCTCTGAGGGTTAGTGCTGGTTAACTCCACACACCCCAAAGGGGTGGGGGAGGGGAAGACAAGAAGGGGAGTCTCCCTCCTGTCCTGGGGCTTCAGATGACAGCCAGTCTGAGTGCCCTCCATCCCTGGTGGGGCCTGGAGCCCCCTGTCTCCGAAAACCCCACGCTGGGCAGTCGGACCCGGAATCCACCCTCTTCGCGGTCCCTGCTCCCACTCCGGGCCTTGGGGCTTAGGGACACCCTGGGGAACCGGAACTTGGGGGACTTCTCCCCACCAGGGGACTTGGAGGCTGCCTCGCCCTCCTGCCCCCGAGAGGCCTTGGAAGAAGTAGCCAGGCCCACTCGAGGCAAGCGAACTCGTAGGCGGCCACGGCGACCAGAAGCCCCTTCCCTGCTGCCCTCCTCCTCCTCCTCGTCCTCCTCAGGGCTGGGGGAGCTTTCCCCAGCAACAGCCTCGCTCTGGCTGAAGCCCACACGGGGCAGCCTGAGCTTCGGGCTCTTGGCCTTCTCGCCCTCCTCACCCCCCTCCTTGGCCCGCACCAGGCCAAACCGGGGCAGCCGAACCTTGAGCTTGTGTCCATCGTCTCCCTCACCCTCTACCACCTGGTACTCAGCATGGCTGCCCATGGCAGGAGGCGAGAGCTCCAGGTTGGGCAGTGAAAGGTGGAAGGATCGTTCGGCCCCTGGGGGCTGGTCTCCAGGTCCCCCGACCCCAGCCCCAGCTCTGGCCCCCAATGTGGGCATCTTCAGCCTCAGCCCACCCTCATCTGTGGCTGCCTCACCCACCTGCACTTCTCGGCTCAGCCCCACATCCAGCTCAAGCTGGGGCACGGTCACAGTGGGCATCTTGAAGACGCCCTCTCCCACCAACAGCTCCCCACCCTCTCCCTTGGCTTCAGGCAGAGACAAGGTCACCTGAGGCACCTGGACCCTGTAGCCTGCTGTGCCCTCTGCTGAAGGGGCTGCACTCTCAGCCTGCTGCCCCGAGGTGGCACCCAGGCCAGCCTCACCAAATCTGGTCAGCTCCACCTGAGGCAGAGAGATGCCCAGGGGCATCCTTCGCACCTCCTCCTGGCCCTCAGTGCCTGCCTGCCTGGTTGTGGACACTTGCAGGCCCGATAGCCGTGCTCCGCTGACGGCCACCGCCCCCTCTGCCCCCACTTCCTCCTGGGCCCCCAGAGTGACCAGTTCCACCTCAGGGATCTTAAGCTGCCCGACCATCAATTCTGCCTTTTCTCCCGGGCTAACACGCCCACCCTGGATTTCCACCTCCTTCCCCCGAGCCAGCCCAAAGGAGGGCATCTTCAGTTTGGGCATCTTCACCCTCCCATCCCAACCCCAGCCCTTGCCCTCCAACTCGGACACCCCTGGCACTAGTTCTCCAGCCTCAGTGTCCCGGACTCTGACCCCAAACTTGGGCAGGGTGAACCTGGGACCCTTGAGCTTGAAATCGGCCCCTGCCGCCTCCGCCTTGCCTGTGGGCAGATGGGCATCCAGGCTGAGCTGCGGAATGGACAGATCGAGAGCGGGTAGCAGGCCTGCCTCTCCGACCCCTTTCGCTTCAACCTCGGTCCCCACCCGAGCCTTGGGGAGTGAGATGGCGAACTTGGATGTCTTCAGCTTGGTGGCTCGCCCAGCCCCCTCAGCCTCTGCCTTGGCCACCTTTGGCCCTGAGAGTCCAAACTTGGACAGGGAGAACTTGGAGGTGGGTTTGACTTTCATCTCCATCACCTCTACCCTCCCTTCCTCGACTTCCACTGTGGGCAGCTGTGGAGTGACGATCTCAACAGAGGGCATCCGGAAGGCCACTTCCCCAACCCCTGCTGCCACCTTGCCCTCTGCCCATTCCACCTTGCCCTCTGCCTGTGCTACCTTGCGTTCTGCTCGCTCCACCTTGCCCGCTTCAGCCACTGGAACCTGCCCCTCCAAGCTGAGTGCTCTTGGCAGGTCTAGCTCCACGGAGGGCAATGTGAGAGAGGGGACACCCACACGAGCCTCGCCGTCCACCTCTGGCTGTAGACAGGGAAGTGTCACCAGCTTCCCTGAGACCTCAGCCCCTGCCTCGCCTGACTTGCCTCGTGACGGGGACCCTGCCCTCCCGAATCTGGGCATGGTCATCTTGGGCATCTTGAAGCCAAATTCCACCCCCTCTACCTTCTCTGCCTTGGCAGCTTTTAGCTGCACTTCTGGAGCCTTGGGCAGCTTCATCTCAGGTGCCTTCAGAAGCTGCACATCTGGGGCCTTTGGGCACTTGCATTTCTGGCAGCCGGATCTCTGACACCTTTGGCAGCTGCACCTCTGGCAGTCGCACCTCGGGCACCACCATCTCAGGCACCTTTGGGAGCTTCATCTCTGAGACTTTGGCAGCTGCACCTCTGGCAGTCGAACCTCGGGCACCGCCATCTCGGGCACCTTTGGGAGCTTCATCTCCGAGACTTTCGGAAGTGCCACCTCTGGGAGTCGCACCTCGGGCACTGTCATCTCGGGCACCTTTGGGAGCTTCATCTCTGAGAATTTTGGAGCTGCACCTCTGGCAATCGCACCTCGGCACAACCCTTCTCGGGCACCTTTTAGGAGCTTCATCTCAGAAACTTTTGGGAGCTGCACCCTCTGGGAGTCGCACCTCGGGCACTGCCCATTCTTCGGCACCCTTTTGGGAGCTTCATCCTCAGACACTTTTGGCAGCTGCACCTTCTGGAAAGCTCCATTCT